TTTTTTTGCTTCAAAAGTAGCCTTAAAAAGTGTTTCCGAAACACAAAGCTTACACTAGAAAGGAGGAGGTGCAGAATAAGCCAGCCATTGTGGAACATAGAAAACAAAATGTCCAAATCAGACAAATCTATTTTTTTTTAAATTACAACAACAATTCATGAGTTGTCAAGAGGCATTTCACCCTGTTCTACTCATTGACTACTACAACATCCACCTGCCCTACAAATCTTCACACAGCCCCCCGCATTGAAATTCATCCCAACAACTTCTCCTCTCTCTCTCTCTCTCTCTCTCTCTCTCTCTCTCTCTCTCTCTCTCTCTCTCTCTCTCTCTCTCTCTCTCTCTCTCTCTTTTTTTCTATCTCTCTTTTTTTTTTTTTTTTTTTTTTTTTTTTTTTTTTTTTTTTTTTTTTTCAAAGAGAAACAACCCGACCGGTTGCTAGGGGTGCTGATAGGAGCAGGCACCACTAGCACCATCGGGGAGGCTCCATCTATTGGTGGGGAGCAGCACCTGCTGGAAATCGGGTCCAGCGTCCCTGTAGTGTACAATTGTAAAATGTAGAAATGGAAGTATTACAGCAGTAATCTATTGACTGTGTCCTTGCTATCTATCCAGTTGTTGTCTTGTGTTGTTCTGTCTGTGACTATCTATGTACAGCTTCTGCCGGAACTCGGGTCCAGCGTCCCTGTAATGTACAATATAAAATGTAATGATGAGAGTATTACAGTAGTAATCTATTGGCTGTGTCATTGCAATCTATCCAGTGGTTTCTAGCTTATTATCTCAATCATCCTGAAGTATTCCTGAATCGTCCCAAATTGTCATCAATCATCAGTGTACTCCAATTATAAGGGACGCTGGGCCCGGTTCCCAGCACGTCCTGCTCCCCACAAATAGATTGGACCATTTAAAAAAAAAAAAAATGCGCATGCACTTGTCCTGTCAACAGGCCCAGGTACGGGCTCACCTGCTGGAAAGCGGGTCCAGCTTCCCTTGATACACAGATTGACCATTTCAACATTACAGTTGTGGCAGCAGGTACAACTCACAGCCAGATCTGTTATACTTTTTTTTTTTTTTTTTTTTTTAACACTTATGTGCTGTGGACTTTGGCTCTTCCTTTCTCCCAACCTTTGTGTCGTCGAGGTACTGAAGGCTCCCCTTTTGCCTACCCCTTACATCAGTACCCCCCTCTCCCTTCCCACGGTATCCTACCGTAGTCGTCTTCCTGCTTATATTCAATATTGTACTTTTTTTCTTTGTAGTGCTCCCCTTGTTGCTTGTTTCAGTTTATCCTACGTCTGAGCCCAGTTCGTGTTCCTTCCTCCCTTCCCGATGACTTCCTCTTTCTCCCCACTCAGCTATGACGCCTGTTTGGTGTACTGTTTGTCCTCTCTCTCGATGCACACTGTTATATTTCCAAGTTGGCTTCCCTCTTGGTAGCTCTTTTGTGTCCTTGCGTTGGTGCTGTCGGTCCCGTTTCGCTCTTGGTGCATCATTGTAGCCAAGGTCCTCCACGCTGGACCGGGTGGGGTCTGACTCTTTGGGGGAAAGGGGTTGGGCGGGGGGGGG